CTTCTGACTGGGAAATGATGCATACTCTAGCCCCCTCAATACTTCTCCACTCTCAGGCAAAGTTACCTTTCTCCTTCCTTTGCCTTCCACACGCTGTTTATTCCTATTTTTACTTGCCACGTTGTCTTGCCCATCTCCCACTTTGAGTTCATCAAAGTTAAGAAAAGACCCTGTCTTATTTATCCTTGTTACCTTAGCTTTTAGCACACAGTCTGGCAGACAGCAAATGCTCAAAAAATATGAAATGAATGAAGAATGAAACTTACAGAAGAACCTGAAGATGTTGGTGGATTACAGCTGGTGAATTACTGTGAATTTGCTAAAACTAAACACTGTTTTAGCAGATTATGTTAGGCAAAGACAAAATACAGATATCCAGGACTGGGGGGACATAGTGGAAAAAACAATTTTATTTAAAATGTGAGTATATGGGATGGGTGGTAGTGGGGTAATAGACCATAAGTTGAGTGGGGATTGTAGTGTTTTTCAAACCTCAGTTCAATACCTTTCTCTGGTCGTAGAGGATCGTGGGCATGTAACCCTTTGGGGGCTGGGAGCAGAGCCCCAAGCAGCCTTTCTGCCTCAGGTATCAAGTATCTGCATATTTTGAACATACCCATATTTTACCTTTAGAAATTCATGCAAATTTTGCATTCTGTTTTATTACCTCTGAGTATTTTAAGGTGAAAACACCTTTTTCTCCCCACCCACCTCATCCTCTAGTGAATAGTTGCTTCAGGAACTTGTGCCATTTGTCCTCAGGCTTCTAGCACATCGGCCTGCCCCAATGCCCAAATCTGGGAGGCGTGGGACAGGGTTACAGTCTAATATGGCAGTATCCTAGCTTGCTGTGATGTGGGGGATTGTATACTCAGGAGTATTATGTCACGGACCCGAGGAGGGTGAGCTCATCTTTGTTCTAACGAGGCTATTCCTGGAAGGCTGCAGTCAGTTGGAGGCACCTCATTACCAGATCGCTGGGGATCAGCTGGAGAGAGTTCACAGAAGACCCACAGGAATGATTAAGAGACTGGAGGGGCTGACTGATGAGGAAAGAATATAAATGAAAACTGTATAACTTGGCTGAACTGAGATAGCAGGAATACACAACTGTATAAATATCTCAAGAGAATAAACTTGATGGGGGAGGGCAGTCTCTTATGGTGGGATTTGGGGGAGAATAAACCAAGGCTGAAATTAAGCAAAGGAAAATGTACACTAATAATCTAAAGTACCTGATGGTGTACTTTAATTTTTGGAACCTTCTTAGGTCACTCTAAACTGTGGACCTTTTGTTAATTGAATGATTTGGTTTTTCAAAGTTGATTTTCCTGGACTTGTGGGTGGTGCTTCTGTATAGAGAATCCTAAAGACTCCATCTTTCAAAGCCAACATCTTTCTTTCGTCTTGTCTTTCTCCGTGGGACTCCATGGGCGATAGTTGGGTGATTGTGTGCTGCCACTGCTTCTTTCTTTCTTCACCAGAATTCCAAAGTGGATTTTCATGTCCTTTTTTTCACGGCTTTTTATAATAGCATTTTAAAAGTAGACACTGAGTCAGTAATATGTATTGTAATAATTTTAGAAACCTGGATATGGGATTGGTCCCTGAGGTACTGGTTTTAGGAAATTATAGCCTTGATGAAATGCAAACATAATTGTAGGAAACATGTACTTTGGGAAATGATTGTATAAAATCTGACTTTGGGGTACGGGAGGCATAAAACTTTTAAACAGCAGTTGAAATTAGGAGAAATATTTGCATAATGTTGCCAGTTTTATAGCTCTTTTCCTAAGAGGGGACAGGAGAACTGGAAGAAAATGATTTTATGCTTTTTTGATTTATAAAAACGAGTTCATTTACAAAGCAGTTATGCAGCTTTAAGACTGAGACCTCTATGCTAGAGAGTAGTAAACCTTTCTTGTAAAGGGTCAGATAGGAAAGCTTTGTAGACCCTAAGTCTCTGCAGCTACTCAGCTTTGTTTTTGTGGTGCAAAAGTAGTCATAGACCATATGTAAACAAATGAACTTCGCTGTGTTCATCCTTTTTTTTTTTTTTTTTAAAGCAGGCGACTATCTGGATTTGGCCTGCAGGCTGTAGTTTGCCAACTCCTGCTCTAGACCTTTGCTCCCGAAAGCATGATCTGCAGACCAGCAGCATCAACACTCCCTATGAGCCTGTTGGAGATACAGAGTATCGGGTTGCTTCCCAGAGGGGCTGCCCTGGAGCCTAGACCAAGCTTCTCAGACTTTAATGTGTGTAGGAATCTCATGGGGGCACTTATCAAAGTACAGACTGAGATAAACTGAACAATATACTAGCTACTGGGAGACAAAGATGAGTCAGACCAGTCAGTGTCCTCAGAGACCCCAGAATTCATTAGGAGAGACTACTGTATAAACAAATAATTACAATACAGACTAATAAATGCTATAATAGAGGTATTTTCAGCACAGGAGTATCACAGCAGAACAAGTCATCGGTTCTGTGTGGCATGGGGGCAGTCCTCAGAGGGGCCTGAGAATTGGACCAGGAAGGGGATGGTGCTTGAGTTGAATTTTCAGGCTTACTAGAGACACTGAATGAAACATCGTCAGGGGTAGGCATGGTAGTTCATGGTGGGGTGTGGTAAAAATGATATTAGAACTAGGAGTTATTCGGGCGCCTGGGTGGCTTAGTTGGTTAAGCGTCAGCCTTCGGCTCAGGTCATGATCCCAGCGTCCTGGGATCGAGCCCCACATCCAGCTCTCTGCTCAGCAGGGAGTCTGCTCCCTCTCCCTCTCCCTCTGCAGCTGCTTGCTCTCTCTCTAATAAATAAATAAAATCTTTTTAAAAAACCACTATTAAAACAAAAAAGAACTGGGAGTTACTTAATTTAATAACCAAATAGCTGATTACAGGGCTGGAGACCCATTAAGATCATAATGAATAGAAATAAAATTTCAGTACATTCTATTATTTTTAGCTAATTTTTTATGCTCTTTCCCTATTTGAAAAAAGGATAGGGGCGCCTGGGTGGCTCAGTTGTTAATCGTCTGCCTTCAGCTCAGGTCATGATCCTAGGGTCCTGGGATCGAGCCCCGCATCGGGCTCCCTGCTCGGCGGGAAGCCTGCTTCTCCCTCTCCCACTCCCCTTGCTTGTGTTCCCTCTCTGGCTATCTCTCTCTCTCTGTGTCAAATAAATAAAATCTTAAAAAAAAAAAAAGAAAAAAGGATAACTTGCCTGTTCTCTCCCCAAAAGTTATATGTTCTCCAGAAATAGAAACTTTTAATATGTTCTTACATCAGTAAGAATTTAGAAAACACTGAAAGGTACAGGTAGAAAATAAAAATTATTTATAATTCCAAACACCAAGAGATGGTGACTATTAATATTTTTGTGTTGTTCCGTCTAGTTTTGTTTATGTAACATTTTAAAAATTGGGCTCATGCTATGTAACTAATTTTGTGCTTGCCTTTTATTTAGCATTTTTTTTGTGAGAAATTTCTTTCATTACTCCTTAAAAGGTGTCATTTTTTAATGCTTAGATAACATTCTAATGGAGCTCCTATAGTTTATATAACTCTTATCTTGTTTGTGGATCCTTTAATCTGGTTCCAGTTGCTAGTTGACCTAGCTTTTGGCTCATGTACTTGGCAATTCTATCACCATATTTCAAAATAAATACATATATTGTTTATTTGTAATTATAAAAGTTTGCCAACTTGTTTGATCTGTTGGCCTTCACTCATTCCGTTCTGCTGTTCTTACTAGCATTGTGGCTTTTCTTTCTTGGTTTCCCAGGGTAGGGAGACAGTAGGGTAGTCCTTAAAAAGCATGGATTCTGGGTCCAGGTTGTCTGGGTTTGATTCACCTCTACTACTTGTGCGTTATCTTGAGAAAGTACCTCAATTTCCTCATCTGCAGAATAGGGATAATTTTATCTGTGGTTGTGAGTTAATATATATGAAGCACTGAACACAGTTCCCACCATGTGGAAAGAGAATCTCTCTCTCTCTCTCTTTTTTTTTTTTTAGTGATGAGTAGTCTCTTCTCATTTGTTTTATGGTGGCTGTTTGTGTATGCTTTGCCATACCCCCCTTTCTGTTACGTTTAGTTTATGAATGTCTTTGAGTTACACACTGACTTTACTAGACTTTACTTAGTGACTTTATCTTGAAAGTTCACACATTTTTTTTACATTTTAGGTAAACTTGAAAGTTCACACATTTTACTACTTAGAAAAGTAAAATCAATGTTGTTTCACCATGTCTTGGAAATGCAGACATGGGCGCAAAGGGAGCGGCCTGCATAGACAGATGGGTTAGGTTTTAAAGCTTGTTGGTGGTTTTCCCTTTCCAAGGGAGTATTACCTTGATCGCTTCTATGGCATAATGAGGCCCTCTGTAATGTGGCCCTGCCTGTCCTGTGGTCTTGTTTCTCTTCACCCTATTCCCAGACCCTGTGCTCCAACCCCATTAAACTGGAACCGGGCATGTGGTAGTGATGAGGCTCACTCTTTACTTTTTTCTTTTTTAAAGATTTTATTTATTTCTTTGAGAGAGAGCACAAGCAAGGGGAGGGGCAGAGGGAGAAGGAGAAGTGAGCAGGGAGCCCGATGCGGGGCTTGATCCCAGGGCCATGGGAACATGACCCGAGCCGAAGGTAGACACTTAACGACCGAGCCATCCAGGCGCCCCAAGGCTCACTCTTTAAATTTGTGCCCTCGTTGCTTCTCTTGAAGGATTAGAATCGACTGCAGTGCTGGGGCTTCCTTTTGGGGAGTGACACAGTTAAGGCAGTGAGGCTGCCACTTGCCTTTTGTTGTGGAGTTCTAATTGGGAAGGCTTGGTCGAGGTTTACCAGGCCTTGCTTATTCTTAGGGCCCCAGAGTTTCCTCTGCCCGTCCTATCTATGGCCTCTTTGTTGTTTTCTGGGCATTCTCTTTCGGAAATAAAAACCTCTTCCACTGACCCTTTTGTTCTCTGTTGAATAGGATCCTGGGACAGGAGGACAGATGCATCCTTTGGCAGGCGATTGGACCCTGCCCTAGAGAGAAGTCCAGGATAATAGCTTTTGGGGCTATATTTCTCCACCCTGGAATTCATCCAGTTCATTCCAGAAATATTGACCCTCTGCTTCTGTGATACCTCCTCAATGAATGTCTGATGGACAGACACTTTCCGGTGACCTTGCAGCAATTTTCTTTCCTGTGGAGGTTGGAAGACAAGGTGAATGGTGCCAGAAGTTGCCTGCTTTGGTGAATAGGAGTGTTCCACTTGGTTCTCAGAACATGGGCCCTCGTTTAAAGGTAAGAGCGTAGAGTAGTTTAGATTCACTTGTTATTGGGATACAGAACATGGACTTAGTGACCAGTTCCTCAGCCTTTCCAGCAAGGGATAGCTGTTGAAGTGCACGGTTGCAATTAGAATCTGACCCCCCCCCTTCTTCCCACCCCTAGAGCACCTCTGAGGATGAAGAAATCAATTCTCTGTTTCTGGGAAATGACTTTTTCACAACTGGTCTTTAAAGGCAGGGCTAAAATTTATTTAATATTGTAATTACGAATCTTTAGATTCCTAAAAAAGCAGAGTGTTAGATGTATGTTAGTCAACTTTCTAACGTTGCCTTGAGACAGGCACTTTCAAGTATTCCCCCACCCCCGCCTTTTATAGGTAATGTGAGCCAAAGTACTGTAGTATTAAGCAACTTGCCCAGGATCTTTTAGTAAGCAAGTGATATTTCTGCATTAGATAATTGGTACTGCATTCCATTTTCCTTTGTCATGCTTTATTTTTATTTCAAAAGATTTTAAAAAGGGCCATAAGCATTTATTTTTCTAATTTTAACCTCATGGTGGGACGCCTCACAGTAAGATTAAGTAATGTTTTTCATACATTGTTTTACCTGTTTTTTTCATCTTTCCTCTTCCCGAATACCTCTGTTGCAATGACTCCATCCTTTGTCATGATTTAGTGTCATATGAGGCTTAGAACATTAGGTTTCAGTTAGGCACAGGCTTGAGTCTCAGCTCTGTCACTTAACCAGCTGGGAGATGTTCAGCAAGTTAACTTTCCAAGCCCAGTTTTTTTTTGTGTGTGTGTTTTTTAATCTATAAAACGAGAATAATAGTGTTTATTTTACCAAACTGTTAGGGAGACAATTACTTAGGCTAACACGTATAAGCACTTAGTGCTTCACCTATCGTAAGTGACTCAATAAGGATAGGGAGTGAATATTACTTTACTACTACTGTTATTCTGCTAGCTTAGAGAATCACAGTTTGCTGAATTGTATAAAAGCAAGATACTAAAGAGATGAACTTGAAAACAAAATACTCATGTAGCCAAATGGAATGAATTAGTGTGGCAGAGGCTTAACATACTGCTTCTTTTTGCTTGAATTAGACTCGGGAAGAGTTGCAAGATAATTTTATGAAGAAGAAGCGTGAGCAGCAGAAAGTGGAGGGTGCTATAGAAACTGTTCTAGAAAAATAAATGCTCAAGATTAGGAAGATAGAACCATAAAACCAGATACCGTGCCATGCATGAGAACCTCTGACTCTGGTTGTAGGTATTTGGTACAGACCTGCAGAACTACAGTAAACTGGTAACTTGTGGTCTGAAGAGTTTATAATCCCTGGCTCAAGTGAATGTACTGCCACTTAGAGAAGTCTTTAAAAACTGTATCAGAAAGGAGGTCACATCTAGAAAATTCCTGATCCTTAGGCATTCTGGACAAAGGAAAGAACAGACATTGGACCATATCCATTCAGATATTTCATTCACATTTTTTGCAATTACTATATGCAATTACATTGGATGCCGTGGAGAATTTTGAAGACTAGTCTTTGCCTCCTGTTACTTACCACTCTGAAATGGAAAATAAAACAAACATGGGACTAAAATGAAAGAGAATATAAATTTCTATAAGATAAATAATAATGTGGGCATTCGGAGGAGGGATGGAATTTCTCAATTGAGACTGAGGGAAGATTTCAGGGAGGGGAGACAGGATTTTCCCTAGACTTAGGGTTAGGAGATTTCCCATGGATGGAGACGTGGGAGGGGAGTGGATAGTCTAGGCAGATGAAGGGACTTTTGCAAAGCATGGAAATGGGACGTTTCAGAGCTTAGATGTAAAGGTGGAAAGGACTCGAGTCAGGTAGATCATAGGATGAAAACAAGGGACTGTGGGAGATGGGGCCAAGGGGAATGCTGTGGGTGGGGGTGGGGGTGGAGACAGAGCAGAGAGAGCCTTGCTGGCGTCAGGAAGAGGACAGAAAATGCTAACAGAATGGAAGTGAAATCTGGAACAAAAGTGATCTGACTGACAAAGATGGGAAGGTTTGTGACAGCATTCAAGAGGAACAAGACAGGAGGAAAACGTAGAAGGAAGGCAAGTTCAAAATGTGACCAGTTGAGAGATGGGTAGATATAAAACTCGAATAGTATGAAGAACTTCCATGTAGGCAGAGATTTGAAGTACAGTGAGAAAAACCATGCCTTTTGTAACTCTGATGCATTTCCCATTGAAGAAAATGTGGGCCAGCAGGGAGGTTCCCAGAGTTTCCTACTGGCTCCGACGCAGAGGGACAGTGATGCTGCTACCTCTCCTGGGAACGAGTGTAATAATAATTCAAACTGGCAATTCACCGTGTGCCGTATTCTAGGCTGTTCACATGCATTAACTCATTTCATCCTCACAGACACCCCTGCGAGGTATACGCAGATACACCCCATTTGATAGATAAGGAAACTGGCTTTCCCTAGAGAGGTGAAATAACTTGTCTGTGGTCACACCGTGAGTGGCGGAGAATGTGTTTGAACCCGGGGAGTCCATGCCCTCATCCTCTGTACTTTCCTCTTTGCTATACTGTTTGATTTTAGAGTCCTGATGGCTGTGGAGCGTTAGATTGAAGTCCTACCACACTAAAGGAGATGGTGCCATAGAAATGACTAGACCTCAGCTCTTTTTATAGCAAGGAGAATTCTGAAGCCTGGCCAGGTCACGCACTTGCAGCCTTGGAACTGGTCTGCAGGCCTCTGATTTACTGCTTGTCCACTGCCTCTCCCAGAAAAGGTTGTCGTAGTTGTCAGAGATAGCGCATTGGAATTTTCCCGGCCCTCATGTGTGCCATAAATGTGGCATGGCTCTTGTTCTTCCAAGCAGTAAGAGACTTGAGACCACAAGTCCTATAACGTCACCACGTGCACTTTATTTTCTGCGGAGTGTTAGAACTTTGCTAAAGACCAGATTTTCATGTCCAGGATCTGATTGGATGACGTCCAACTAAGGGAGTACTTCAGACAGTTAAACTGCCAGTCTGGGTTCTAGCAAGTCATCTAGGAAGTCATCTGCATCCTGGAAGTTGCTTTTTTGGGTACTTTTTTGAGAGATGAAAGCAGCTTTCAGCATAAGGTCCCAGGAGATGAGATCCTTGTTTGGAAGGAGGCTCAGTAGTTGTGATCCCAAATTTGGAGTCTATATATTGTCTCTTTATAATAGACCCTTCGGGGAGCAGCTTAATCCATGGATATTGACTGTGCTAATGTTCCCTGCGTGGATTTAAGTAATATTCTAGTGCTGATAAAAGGTGCTGGATTGAGCTAACGTTGATAACCTTTATATACATTGACTTGAAAAGCATGAATTCACCACATTGTAGAATGGAGAGCTTTTACAGCCTATACTAAGGTCAGAACCCAGTGATAAGATACCAATGTCAATGTACATTGCATTTTTCCTTGGTAATACCTTGGGTGGTTCAAACAAGTAACGACGATTGAAGTCTTATTCTGGAAACAAGTTTAATAACAGTGAAAGTTTCCCCTCAAACTCTGGCCACTATTTGAATTGTTCTGACCTTAACAGGCATCATAGGAGAAATATAGTCTCCTCCTTTTGTTCCTGTCCTTGGCCTTTCTGCTGAGCTCCTCTTCCATAGGACCTGTTGTCTGACTACTAACAGCAAAAATGACTTCTCCTGTGTGCCCACTGCTTATTACTGGGATGCCCCATGGTTCGCTTTAATTATATAATGCCAACATGATGATAATAATACTTGCTTTCAAAAAATCCACATTTGATATAGCTATTTCCACTCAGATGAATTACTTCTAGAGGAAAATAGAAGGGGAAAGTGATTCTGTTATCCTCTTTGCTTGTGTTAATTAGCACTACTTGGCAAGGGGGAGGGAAACTGTCTTGGGGCCCTGGATCTAAGAAGATGAAAGCCATGTTATTGCATTTTGTAATTAGCACTAAAGCAAGTGGCCGTTTGTGGTATTCCTAGGGTGGTCATAGATTGGAAGTCTTTAGAAGGAATGAAGATGCAGTGACTGTTTGGCCACAATTTGTCATAGGGCACCTGTCAGGCTAGAGAGAGGACAGGGATAGTAAGGCTCGAGTCAGTCATCTCAAGCCATATGTTCTTTGTCTCTCCCTGAGATGGCTGTCAGGAAGAGTTGAAGAAAAAACTAAACAGGTTTTCTTTTGCAGCTGCAGCTGTGATCCTCGCTGTCTGTCGGCATTGAAGGGACCTGATGTTTTACGTTATTGGTATGTTATGGGAAGAGCTGTCTCTGTTATCTTCTTGTTAGGGTTGCTGCATCCGTTTTGCCTCCCTGTCTATCCCTTTTCTCTTGAAAATAGACTTAGAAATATTTCTACTCATGCCAGAATGTACCTTCACAGAGCTGACAGTGGAGTTCATTCATTTGGGAAATATTTATTGAGTAATTCTGGTCCGTGCCAGGCAGTGTTTCCTGCCGAGTCAAAGTCGAATAGGCAAAAATCTGCCTTCAAGAAGTTCATACCATGAATGGGGAGATGGTCAAGGGGGAGAAGAGCTATAATAGCTGAATGGGCAGGAGTCTGAGGGAGCCCAGAAGGGGGAACCCCTAGTGCAGGTGAGGATCGGGGAAGGCTTTTGCCAAGTGGACAAGAGAAGGGAAGACTTTCAAATGGGGGGAATAGAATTCACATTCTTTTTAGGACTCTTGTGAGGGCCTAGCCCATGCAGGAAAGTACGGGTGGGCATTCTGTGTGGCCCATGGTATAGAACCAGGGTCAGCAGACGTTTTCCGTAAAGGGCCAGAGAGTAAATATTTTGGCTTCCCAGGCCATACAGGCTCTGTCACAACTACTGAATTCTGCTGGTTTAGGGCAAAAGCAGCCCTAGACAGTATGTAAATGAATAGATGAGGCAGGGTTCTAATAGAATTTTATTTACAAAAATAGGCAGCGGATGGGATTTGGCCTGTAATTTCCAACCCCTGGTATAGAAGTTCCTGTCTTTGGGGCCCCTGGGTGGCTCAGTCAGTTAAGCATCTGACTCTTGGTTTTGGCTCAGGTCATGATCTCAGGGTCGTGGGATCAAGCCCTGCATCAGGCTCTGCGCTCGGTACAGCATCTGCTTGAGATTCTCTCTCCCTCTCCCTCATCCCTCCCCCTGCTTGCGCATGCTTTCTAAATAAATAAATAAATAAATAAATATCTTAGAAGTTCTTCTCTTCACCCACAGAGGTAGTAACCCACTATGATGTTTCTTTGGAAGTCTTGTTCTCTCATCCTGACTTCTTTTAATTTTTAAAAGATGACTGGCCTTTTCCACAATGAGAAGCTCTGATGTATAACTGGCAGGTGGTATGTGTGTTCTCTTTTACATAGGTGGGATCACAGTGTCTGTGGTTGCATTCTTCTTCACAATTAAGTTCCTCTTTGAGCTTGCCGCACGCATAGTCAGCTTCCTCCAGAATGAGGACCGTGAGCGCAGAGGGGACCGGACTATCTATGACTACGTGCGGGGAAATTACCTGGATCCCCGGTCTTGCAAAGTCTCCTGGGATTGGAAGGACCCCTATGAGGTGGGCCACAGCATGGCCTTCCGAGTGCATGTAAGGGAATGTTTCTGTCTCCATACCCATTGGGTTTTCTGAATCACTTGCTTTCCAGAGTAGTGCTGGCCTGGAATGTTAACATGTTTCCTTGTTTTTCAGTCATTCCTAGGGACTTAGTAATTGTTACTATCTGGAAGGGTCATGAATTTATCATTTTGGTTTAGTAGGTGCTTAGCTTTGAAGATGCATAAAGCTTAATGTTACTTTTTCAAAAGAAGAAAAAATATCACCAGAAAGAATAGGTGTTATAGATTGGGGGTTGGCAAACTATGGCCTGAGGAGCCAAATCAGGCCCACCTCTTGTGTCTGTAAATACAGTTTTATTAGAACACAGCCACACCCATTCATCTTCTTCCTGTATTGCCTGTGGCCTGCTTTTACGCTTAAGTAGTTAACCACAGTTGAGTCGAGTAGCTGTGTATGACCCACAAAGCCACAATATGTACTCTCTGGCCCTTTACAGAAAAGTTTGCCTGCCTGCCCCTCTCCCCCAGCCCCACCTGGTGCTTCAGCTCACTCAGCACCAGTGGCACCCACTGACTTACCTTCACGTTTGGGTGAGCAGTGGTAATAGAGTAAGAAGGGCCGGGTACACAGAGGGGACAGCATTTGTGGTTCAGAAATATCAAGTTGAAGTGGATTCAGCAGTATCTTTTATCCCTGTCTCCTGAACAAGTTAAGAATTTGTTCACGATTCGGTGTTTTCTCTGAGGTGTGGTTTTCTCTCTGTGTCTGTGGGGAGGACTGTAGGAACAGTGGGTACTGGGATTTGCCAGCTACCTCGTGCCTCCCCACACTCTCTCGAGTTAGGTGGGAAACAGTTGTCTCCTCCTGCTCACTAACAAGTGCCCCTTGTCTCCCCGCACTGCAGTTATTCTACAAGAACGGGCAGCCTTTCCCCGCACATCGGCCGGTGGGACTGAGAGTTCACATCTCTCATGTCGAGCTGGCAGTGGAAATTCCAGTGACCCAGGAAGTCCTCCAGGAGCCCAGTTCCAACGTGGTCAAGGTGGCCTTCACTGTGCGCAGGGCGGGGCGTTATGAAATCTCGGTGAAGCTTGGTGGATTAAATGTGGCCTACAGTCCCTACTATAAGATTTTTCAGCCTGGTATGTTCTTTCTTCTTTTTTTCCTCCCAGTCTCCATCCCTTCCTTCCTGTGTGTTTCTTTCTTGCTTTTTAAAAATACACCTTTATTAAGATTTAATTCACACGCCACATCATCCATCCAGTTAAAATATACAGTTAAATGGTTTTAAAAATTTAGAGTTGTGGGGCGCCTGGGTGGCTCAGTCGTTAAGCGTCTGCCTTCAGCTCAGGTCATGATCCCAGGGTCCTGAGATTGAGCCCCGCATTGGGCTCCCTGCTCCACGGGAAGCCTGCTTCTCCCTCTCCCACTCCCCCTGCTTGTGTTCCCTCTCTCACTGTGTCTCTCTCTGCCAAATAAATAAATAAAATCTTTAAAAAAAAAAATTTAGAGTTGTGCAGTTGGCACTGCAGTCCATTTTAGAGCATTTTCATCACGCCCAGAAGAAATCCGGTACCCATTAACAGTCATTCCCCATTTACCCCAAACCTCCCCATCCCTAAGTAACCATTTACCTACTCTGTAGATTTGCCTACTCCAGACATTTTATATAAGTGTAGTCATAACATATATGACCTTTTGTGACTGCCTCTTTCACTTAGCATAATGCTTTTAAGGTTTATTCATGCTGTACCTTGAGTCAGTGCTTCATTTCTTTTTCTTGCTAAATGACATTCTATTGTATGGATATACCGCCTTTTATTTGTCCATTTGTCAGCTGATGGACATTTGGGTTGTTTTTGCCTTTGGCTGCTGTGAACTTTTGTGTCCAAGTTCTTGTGTGGACATATGGTTTTATTTCTTTAGGAGTGGAATTGCTGGGTCATCAGCCTAGTAAGTTCTTAAGGGGTATGGGTGCCAGAATAGACAAAAGGTAAATTCTTCTGATTTTTGAAATCTTTTCAAGTAAAAGCCCCTTGACCCTAACTTCCACACTTACTGCCCGTATGCATTTTCCTTCTCATGGCTGAGTGCCCACACTGCTGATATCTAAGAATTGAGACCTCTCTCTTTACTCTTTTTCCCCACTCATATCCTTTATGCCAGATAATAGATGCTCACCGACGTTGAAGCCTAAAGGTGTAACTTCTGACTTCTGATTCTGCAGCAAATCTGTTTAGTGTGTTAACCATCCTGTCTGCTCTGTGTGCCCTGCCTTGGCTTCCTTTTGAGGGTGTCATTAAGTACGGGCCAGGTTGGTATCCACAGAAATGAGAGGACTTTGGGAACATTTCGGGGTCAAACGATAAGAAGAGGAGCCTTAAGAAGATTTGTGTATCTTTGCTTGACTGGTCCTTAGTTTTCTTTCTCTTATAACAGTGGAAAGCTGTGGACAAGGTGGCTCCCAAGCCACATCCCTCTCCACGTATCTCCTCCTTTACTTAAGTGACTCACCCACAGACTCCTTTCCACAGGAATTATCATCACCCCACCTCCTTGCCGGCAGTGGAGAACAGTTCATATCCTTACGATATGTCTCAGCCTTTTATTTTTAAATTAATATTAAACTCTTCATTTTGAGATAATTGTAGATTCTCCTGCAGTTTAAAAAATAATACAGAGGGATCTGGTGTACCCTTGACCCAGTTTCCCCCAATGGTTGTGAGATCTTACAAAACTAAAGTACAGTATCACAGCCAGGTTATTAACATTGATACAGTCAAGGTGCGAAACATTTCCATCACCACAAGGATCCTTATGTTACCTTTTTATAGCCACACATTTTCCCTCCCCCACCCGCCTGTTTCTTAACCCCTGGCAGCCCACTAATCTCTTCTCCATTTCTATAATTTTGTCATTTCAAGAATGTTATATAAATGGAATTATATTGGGCATCTGGGTGGCTCAGTTGGTTAGGCATCTGCCTTCAGCTCAGGTCGTGATCTCAGGGTCCTGGGATTGAGCCCCACGGGGGGCTCCCTGCTCCACGGGGAGTCTGCTTCTCCCTCTTCCTTTGCTCCTCCCCCCACTTGTGTGCTCTCTCTCTCTCTCAAATAAATAAAATCTTTAATAAATGGAATTATATTTCACTCGGTCTAATTCCCTGGAGATTCAGCCAAGTTGTTGAGTGTACCAGTAGTTGGTTCCTTTTTATTTCTGAGAAGTATTCCACAATGTGAATGTACCATAGTTTGTTTTACCATCACCAGTTGAAGGACATCTGGGTTGTTTTCAGTTTGGGGCTGTGATGAATAAACCTATGAGAATTCATGCACAGGTTTTTGTGTGAACATACATTGTCATTTCTTTTGGTGTAAATGCCCAGGAATATAATTGCTGGGTCATATGGTAGTTACACACTTAGTATTTTTTTTTTTAAAGATTTTATTTATTTATTTGACAGAGAGAGACACAGCGAGAGAGGGGACACAAGCAGGGGGAGTGGGAGAGGGAGAAGCAGGCCTCCCGCTGAGCAGGGAGCCCGATGTGGGGCTCAATCCCAGGACCCTGGGATCATGACCTGAGCTGAAGGCAGACGCTTAATTGACTGAGCCACCCAGGTGTCCCAAGGATGTGATAGTTTTAATCTGCATTTCCCTAATGGTTGATGATGCTGTACATCTTTTCATGTGCTTATTTGCCATTTGTGTATCTTCTTTGGTGAAATGTCTTTGGCCTATTTTCTAATTAGATGTTTTTGGTTTTTACTATTGAGAATTCTTTATATATTCAACATACTAGTCTTCTGTTATATATATATTATATATATATATATTCTGTTTCCAAATATGTTCTATCCTTTTTTCTTTTTAAGATTTTATTTATTTATTTGAGAGCGAGAAAGCACAAGTGGGGAGGGGCAGAGGGAGAACGAGAAACAGGCTCCTTGCTGAACGCAGAGCCTGATGTGGGGCTCGATCCCGGGACTCCAGGATCATGGCCTGATCACCTGATAACTGACAGAGCTAGCCAGGCACCCCTGTTCTATCAATCTTTAGCTTTTCTTTTTATCCCCTTCACAAGATCTTTCACAAAGCAAAAGTTTTTAATTCTGATGAAGTCAATTTATTAATTTTTTCTTTTAAGGATCATGCTTTAGGTATCTGAGAACTCTGTGACTAGTTCTAGATCCTGAAGATTTCCTCCTGTTTTTTTTCCCGAGAAGTTTAACATTTTATATTTAAGGCTGTGATCCATTTTTGGTTAATTTTTGTATACTGTGTCAAGATTTTTTTTTCCTTATAGATGTCTAGTTGTTCCAGCACCATTTGTTGAAAAGACCATCTTTCCCCTATTACATTGCTCTTTTTTTGTACCTTTGTTAAAGATAAGTTAGGCATATTTGCAGGGGTCTATTTCTCGGTCCTCTGTTCTGTTCCGTTGATCTGTGGGTCTGTCCCTCCATCAATACTACAGAATCTGGATTACTCTGGCTGTACAGTAAATCCTGAAATTGGGTAAACTTACTTTACTCTTTTTCAGGATTGTTATTTGCTACTCTAGATCCTTTCTCTTTCCGTACAAATTTTAGAACACTATTTTCTATATCTACAAATACTCTCACTGAGATTTTGAGAAGAATGGTATTAAACCTGTATATTACTTGGGGAGGATTGACATCTTTACTATGTTGAATCTTCCATTTCATAAACATGGTAACCTCTGACTTTATACAGACCTCTTCATTTCTTTCATACGCATTTTGTAGTTTTCAACATAGGAATCTTGTACATTTGTCCTTAGATTTGCACCTAAGTGTTTCAGGGTTTTTTTTTTTTTTTTTTTTGCTTGTTTCTTTGTTTTGTTGTTGTTTAGCACTTATTTCTGAGGCCTGCCTCACTTGTAGGTTCCCAGTGGGACTGTAGGCACTATGGAACTCTCAGTTCTGTTTCCTATGAGTCCTTTTCTCATTTTGTTTAGCGCAGCAATAGTTGGAAATTTGTGAAAATGAGTCCCCCAGTTCATTGGAATGAATCTCTTTTTCTTTCTTTTTCTCGTCCTCTTAATGGTGGTGTTTATCCCTAGGAATTGGGTGGGGCCCAGCTCCCTGGGACTCACTGATTGAGGAGATCTTTGTGCTCTGGAAAGCCCCCCTCTAAGGATTAGATTCCATTGTCTGTTCCAGGAATGGTGGTTCCTTCCAAGACCAAAATAGTGTGCCATTTTTCTACTCTGGTGTTGACCTGTGGACAGCCCCACACCCTTCAAATAGTGCCCCGAGATGAGTACGACAACCCTACCAACAATTCTGCATCCTTGAGAGATGAGCACAATTATGGTGTGTCCATTCATGAGGTAAGCAGCTTCCCTTCCTCCTCTGTGTGCTCCTCTGTCATTCTCACCCCTTCTCATTCACTTCCTCTCGTCTCCACCCTGACTTCTGTGCTGTCCTTCCTTCGTCTGACAGTGCCCATCTCGCGAGTAATTATGAAACTTAGATCAGCTTGTAGATAGGAAAGTTCTTTGTAAAGAGTAGATTGCCATGCAGTAGGGAAAATTCTATATGTTCAGTGATGCTCTGTTTTCCTCCTATAGCTCGGTCCTCAAGAAGAAGAGAGCACTGGTGTCTCATTTGAGAAGTCAGTGACATCCAACAGGCAGACCTTCCAGGTGTTCTTGCGACTCACCCTGCATTCTCGTGGCTGCTTCCATGCCTGCATTTCATACCAAAATCAGCCAATCAATAATGGTGAATTTGACATTATTGTCCTAAGTGGTGAGTTGAAAGAAAAGCTGTGATTTAGTCCCATTCCCAGACCACTTGTTCTTTGTGTGTCTGCATTCTTCTGCCCAGCCTCACACACATTTGCAGTTTGAACCAAACTTGGCTTAGAGTCCTATGGACTAAAGGTCTAGTGATAGGTCATTTCTTTTCTCCCCCGTCTCCTACTTTAAAACCTTGTTCCTTGTTACACTTCAGAGAATGAGAAGAATATTGTTGAACGCAATGTGTCCACCTCAGGAGTGAGCATTTACTTTGAGGCTTATCTTTATAATGCTACCAACTGTACCAGCACACCCTGGCACCTTCCACCCATGCACATGAGCTCCTCCCAGCGCCGGCCTTCTACAGCTGTGGAGGAGGAAGATGAAGATTCACCCTCTGAGTGCCAGACCCCTGAGAAGGTGAAGAAACCGAAGAAGGTGTACTGCTATGTGTCACCAAAGGTTGGACCTCCCATTCTTTTTTTTTTTGAGAGTTTATTTATTTGAGAGAGCGCACGAGAGAGCGCGAGAGAGAAGGCATGAGCGGGGGCAGGAGGAGAGAGAGAGGCAGGCTCCCCACTGAACAGGAAGCCCGACGCAGGGCTCAATCCCAAGACCCCAGGATTGTGACCTCAGCCAAAGGCAGACGCTTAACCGACTGAGCCACCCAGGCGGCCCTAGACCTCCCATTTCTTGTCTCAGAATCCCCCTGCCTGAACCTGCATATAATTGGCCGTTGGTAAAAAACCACAAAGTATTAGTGTGAGAATCAGGGCAAGATCATTGACTTGTAGGGTTTCTGGGGTACTAAGAGAGGCTACTTAAGGTTGAGCAGAAGATTGTGCCCCCTCGTTTGTTGCACCTGTTTGGCTTGGACTAGGTGAAAACTCTCTCTAGAGATTCTGTGTACCCTGGTGCTTTAGAGCACCAGAGGCGGTCTTTGATTACTCCTGGGAAGATTTTTCAAGGCATGGCTCTTAGAATTTTAAAGAAAGCGACTTTTGACCATTAAAAATTTTTCGCTGGTATAAAAATTACTGTTGGCCCTTTATGCTGTTTTGAAACAATTTGATCTTTCATTGTGTGCTTTGTGAAACCACAATAAATGCACGTCACTATCAGGCAACAAGATTGGAATAGAGAAATTTTGGCGGAGGCAAGGAGGTGAGCTCCCAAGGACCCTGAGCTAAGAGGCACTTTGTGTTAGGAATTTTCTTTTTAATGTTTATATTTTGCTTAGTCATTCAGATTGCAGAAAAAAAGAGCTCTTGAAACATCCTGTTACATCCCTTTAATCTCATAACCAAAACAGAGTTCTAATTTCGTTCTACTTCAGACTTTGCTACGTGTCATTTATCATTTAAAAATCTAGCCCTACTTTGGACTAGGGGAATGGGAATGAGGGCCAGGATGAGGTAATGAAACAAGATTGACTACGAAGTGATAACTGTTAAGGCTGATAATGGGTTCATTGTACCATTTTCTCTTCTTTAGTATGTGTTTGAAATTTTCTTCATGAAAAATTTTTTAAAAATCAAAAAGTCCTGATCTATACATTTAGATAACAGTATTTTTAGACGAAAAGTTATTGCTTTGTCTTTTCCTTTTTTTATAACAGTATAAAGAGACCCTTCTTTATTCTTACATATTTTTATGAACTTTTTTATTTGAAACCACACCACCACCTTCACACATACCCCCACCCCCCACCTGCCCTCCCGTGACAGATCCTTGGTACCATTCTAATAGAGTTAAAGCAGTGGGTGTAGGCCATTGGTATCCCCTGTCCATTGAGGAAGTTTGAGCAGCACCCAGCTGAACAGAGGGAGATTTTGATCGTTTCTAGGAGAAATGTTTACTCCTAAAGTGAAGACCTGATCTCAGACATTTATTTAGAAATGGTAGTGAAACTTGAGTGTTAAGATTATGAAATGTCTCTATGTGAAATTGCATTGTCAGAGTAATATTTTTGATTTGCCTATTTTAAGATAGAATTGATGTTATTGATTTGATATTAGTACTAAAAAACCATTCTCTTTGTCCCTATAGGGAAAAGGTTATGAGGAATGGAGTAGGGACTCTGATTTTTTAATTACAATACCCCAATAGACCCTTTCTATTTATCATTCACTTCCTTTTCTGTATTTTGGTCCTCCAGCAATTCTCAGTGAAGGAGTTCTACCTGAAAATCATTCCCTGGCGCCTTTATACCTTCCGAGTGTGCCCAGGAACAAAAGTAAGTTGAACCTTACATCTGGTTCATGCTGAGGAGACTTCAACCCTGGAGTGTTTCCACCTTTTCTTTTTTCCTAGAAGGGCTTTTGGTGTTTCTGGAAGTTCTTATTATGCACACAGGATTCATTGCCAAATCAAGAAAGGGTCCTTTTCTCCTCACAACGTGGCATGAAGAATATAGAAGTTCTAGAAGGACACATGCCTACAGAAACAGGAGTTAGTAGCAAGTCAGAATTCTTCAACATTTATCTTTTGCCACTAAGACTAAGTTAATGGAGAGGGCGTTGGCAGTTCTGGCCCAAGCTTGTTTTCCCAGTGTGCTGAAGTAAACTCTTTTAGAATGAGCATTCTCATGTATTAAAAACATTTGTTTTAACTTCTCTGAGCTTTTGAAATCTAAAAGTGAATTGCTTTCCTCCAGCCAGTCTGCCCAACCTCGTTAGGTAGTCATTTGTATCTTATATATCTTTTTTTTAAAGATTTTATTTATTTATTTGACAGAGAGAGGGACAGTGAGAGAGGGAACACAAGCAGGGGGAGTGGGAGAGGGAGAATGGAGCAGGGAGCCCAACGCGGGGCTCGATTCCAGGACCCCGGGATCATGACCTGAGCCAAGGCAGACGCTTAACGACTGAGCCACTCGGGTGCCCCTCTATCTTATATATCTTTAGTGCCTTCATCCTTCTTACATTTTATGTTAGGAGGGCTGTAGTGTTGCCTGTGATCCTCACTAAATACAGTCTCTGTGACTCAAATAATTTAAAGTACAATTGGATTATAGAGCACGGAGATGAAGAACAAGGCGAGGGCGCCTGTGTGGCTCAGTCGTTAATCGTCTGCCTTCAGCTCAGGTCATGGTCCCAAGGTCCTGGGATCGAGCCCCGCATCAGGCTCCCTGCTCGGCAGGAAGCCTGCTTCTCCCTCTCCCACTCCCCCTGCTTGTGTTCCCTCTCTTGCTGTGTCTCTCTCTGTCAAATAAATAAATAAATAAAATCTTAAAAAAAAAAAAACAAGGTGATATACTCCTAGGAGATACTCACTTAGAGAAGACAGGCTTAATTTGTTTATTGGTTGGTACCGAAGGTTAGGGATATGGAAAGTTTTTGCTAGATTTGAGGGTTTTATAGATTAACGCCTTCTTTTTTTTCCTTCGTTAGTTTTCATACCTTGGCCCTGACCCTGTTCATAAGCTCCTCACACTGGTGGTAGATGATGGCATTCAACCACCTGTGGAGCTTAGCTGTAAGGAGAGGAACATTCTAGCAGCCACTTTCATCCGCTCCCTCCATAAGAATATAGGTAAGACTGGACAGGGATTCTGACAGGAAAGGCAGCGAACCCAGCCACCCTGGGCGTCTGAAGGTGTGGGGTGGGCTGCATAGATGTCTTGTAATGAGGCTGTCATCATGATGGATCTTTTTACTCCTCAGGAGGCTCTGAGACCTTTCAGGACAAGGTGAACTTCTTCCAGCGAGAGCTTCGGCAGGTACATATGAAAAGACCACATTCCAAAGTCACCCTGAAAGTCAGCAGACATACCTTGTTGGAATCGGTGCGTAAAGTTTCATTTCCGTTGTCAGTTGTCAGGGTTTTGCAACTAGAAACCTCTTTGGTGTTTGGTTATATCCTCCAGGTCATCTTTCTTAGGAAACCCAAATTTCTCTTCTCTTTAAACATTCCTGTTAAAGACTGCTCTTCTCTGTGTCTGATTATACTGTTTGGGGTGGATTTGTTCAAGACATATGATTGAGGGAAGAGTCTAGTTGACTCATTGGCTTTACAATCTGTACTGAACTATTTCCTGAACCATCTCATGGAACTTCTCCATGGGGAAGGTAGAAGCAGTTGTTACAGAAGAGCATTCTTGTTCTTGAATCCCTGGAAGAGAAGAGCTCTTGTTGGGTTAAAAGGAAATGATTTCTGTTGTCACTCTGGTCTGATGGAAAAGGAACACCTGATGTGTGTCTGTCTCCACCGCGCAGACACTGGCATAGCTCTTGCATTCCTCAAGAATGAGAAGCCTTGGTCCCTGTCCAGAAAGTGTTTGTGATGTTTGGCTCTGGTAGGTGTGACTGGAAACCCCTTTTCTCAGCCACATTGTCCGTGTGGCATGGCTCCCTGTCTGAACACAGCCTTGGGGATAGAGAGTTCCAGTGGACGCTGTACTTCACTGAAAACCAGGACTCCTTGGTTCTCTTGCTGACAGCTTACTAATTTGAGTCCTTTTATTTCTTTATGTAAGAGTTTTCTCATTAGTAAAATGAACATTTAAAAAAACAAAAAACAAAACTTCGACTTCCCAACAAAGCAACGGTGTAAAGATGAATTAAATTGTTTTTTAAAATCTTAAAACTTCTTGAGATATGTGCATTTTAAATATGAAATGATATGATTAAAGTTTATGAGTACTGTGTCTCCTCCAAGTACTAACAGTTAAAGGGACAGTGGCAATGTTCTTGTGTTTTCGTCTCTAACGCCCAAGAGATGCCCGCAGGTCTTCTGACAGTTTCCTTCCCTTAACTGCTTTTCAGTCTCTGAAGGCCACTCGGAATTTCTCCATCTCGGACTGGAGCAAGAACTTTGAAGTGGTTTTCCAAGATGAAGAAGGTCAGTTTTAAAAGCTTATGTTCGGGGTGCCTGGGTGGCTCAGTCATTAAGCGTCTGCCTTTGGCTCAGGTCATGATCCCAGGGTCCTGGGATCGAGCCCCGCATCGGGCTCCCTGCTCGGCGGGAAGCCTGCTTCTCCCTCTCCCACTCCCCCTGCTTGTGTTCCCTCTCTTGCTGTGTCTCTCAAATAAATAAAATCTTTAAAAAAATAAAAAAATAAAAGCTTATGTTCATTTTCTTTTTTTTTTTTGAAAGATTTTATTTATTTATTTGAGAGAGAGAATGAGAGATAGAGAGCACGAGAGGGAAGAGGGTCAGGGAGAAGGAGACTCCCTGCTGAGCGGGGAGCCCGATGTGGGACTCGATCCCGGGACTCCAGGATCATGACCTGAGCTGAAGGCAGTCGCTTAACCAACTGAGCCACCCAGGCACCCTTATGTTCATTTTCTTTAACTCTCTTCCCCACTCCTCCCCTCCTCCTTACGTGCTGTGCACAAATCACAAAAATATCCCCCCTGCCCCTTCCCCTGCCCAAGCTTATTTTTCCAAAGGAGAAAGAAGTCGTGAGTTGAAACAGAAAAAGGAGTGTTGTCAGGCCAGTGGCTTGGTGGAGCTTGTAGAGCACAGACACAGGGACTGGGAGGGTAAGCTCCAAGAGTCTGGACCAGAAGGGGAAGTAACCTTTGTAGAACAAGAGAAATGTCCGTCTCCTGGGACCTCTGATCTCCTGTGTTTCCATACTAGGGGGCATTAACCTAGTGAGTAGAATATCTTGAATCCTATAATCCTACAGAAAGGGGTGGGATTTAAAAAAAGAAAAAAGCCACAGTTTATGTGGGTTGCAGTGGGGAAACACAAATGTGGGATGGAAGGAAGGTGGAGAGTGTTGAACGATGAATCAGTGAACACAAGCGATAAGAGGTGGTAGGTCAGAATTGCTTTTTTTTTTTTAAGATTCATTTAGAGAGAGAGTGCGTGTGGCAGCAGGGGGAAGGGCAGAGAGAGGAGGGAGAGAGAGGGAGAGCATCCCAAGCAGACTCCCTGCTGAGCGCAAAGCCCAATTCGGGTCTCGATCTCATGACCCTGAGACCATGACATGAACCGAAGTCAAGAGTTGGACGCTTAACCAACTGAGCCACCCAAAGCACCCCCACATTTTATTTTTATTTTACTTTTCAGCTCTGGACTGGGGAGGGCCTCGCCGGGAATGGTTTGAGCTGATCTGCAAAGCACTCTTTGATACCACCAATCAACTCTTCACCCGATTCAGTGACAACAACCAAGCACTAGTGAGTTTATGACTTCCTGATGGGTGGGTGGAAAATGTCAGTTGTGTTATAATGGATAGTCTAAGAAGGATTTGAGATCATGAAACTGTCCTGGGAATTTGACAACCTGTGTCTTTTTCTTAATTTTGATACTGACAGTATGAACCCAAATTAGATTGCCTCGCTCCTCTTTACCTTTATTATTTCATTTGTAAAATAAGAGAATGCAGATGAGTATTTGACTAAAATATAGTGCAGTGGCTATCTGCTAATTATTATAATGATTAGGTCACTTTCTCAAACCACACCTAAAGCCATTGTATTCTGTACTAGATCTGTGGCTAGGCAGAGGTATCGGGAGTAGAGAAGTAGACTTTGTTTGAAAGAAGTTCTGGTTTAGGGTAAAGGCATCACATCATCCACTGGTTAACTTCCATACTCAGCCAGGGACTACAAACTTAATGTGAACTTTTTCTACTTACTGTAAGTCCCTCTTTGCCCTCCGTCTTCCAGTCACTCTAAATTACTCATGGTAGCTACTGAATAACTCATGTCATTTAGATGACTCTTTGATTTTAACACTGAAATTCTTGCTCCCTTGGGATAGAATTGATGGGGAGGGTCTTTACGGAACTAAGCTTGAAGAAAAATGGCCCAGAGCCTTTTAATCTCTTTCTTTGACAGGTACATCCCAACCCTAATCGCCCCGCTCATCTGCGCTTGAAGATGTATGAGTTTGCAGGGCGGCTGGTGGGCAAGTGTCTCTATGAGTCCTCTCTAGGAGGAGCCTACAAGCAACTGGTCCGAGCTCGCTTCACCCGCTCTTTTTTGGCCCAAATCATAGGACTACGTATGCATTACAAGGTAAAGTCTTAGGTATACGTTTTTTTTTTACCGAGGCCTTTGGCCATTAATTCTGGAATCCCTCCGCCCTGAGCTCATTATTCTTAAGGTTGAAGGGGTAAGTGGTTCCAAACAGTTACAGATTTCATTTCTGGGTAAGAGTCATCATGTTCTATTCTTTCTGTCTTCTCAGTACTTTGAAACAGATGACCCAGAATTCTACAAATCTAAAGTTTGCTTCATCCTCAACAATGACATGAGTGAGATGGAGCTGGTCTTTGCAGAAGAGAAATATAACAAATCAGGTCAATTGGATAAGGTGAGAAAGAGAACCAAAGCCTGTGGCTCCCAGGGTTCCCGGCCTCCTCTGGAGCTTTCTGTAATGATGAAAATGTTTATCTGTGCTATCTTTGAACGCCCAAAATGTGCCTGGTTATTCACCAAGGAACTGAATTTTTCACTTTATTTTATTCTCATTAAATGTAAATAAGCATGTGAGGCTAGTGGCAACCGTAGCAGGACATTGCATCCCACACGTGATGATCTTGGCCTGTATGATGGAGCAAAAGACACATGTACCCATATAGCCCCCCCTTCGTACTTTCCAGTAGAAAAAGAACTGAGTGAAAATCAAGTGTCCCTGCACAAGCAGCTCTGGGAGGGACGCAGTATCTTTCTCAACTTCAGTGGTCGTGAAATAGGTAACTACTGTTTTAACACTGTGCCTGTATATTTTTCGGCTTTTTTACTAGAAAATTATTGGCCGAAAACATTTCTTTTTTAATTTAATTTAAAAAAATTTTTTTAATTAAAATGTTCTTTTTGGCCAAAAACATTTTTTTTTTAAAGATTTTATTTATTTATTAGAGAGAGAGAGATCACAAGTAGGCAAACAGGCAGGCAGGCAGGCAGAGGGAGAAGCAGGCTTTCCGCTGAGCAAGGAGCCCGATGCGGGGCTCGATCCCGGGACACTGGGATCATGACCTGAGCCGAAGGCAGACGCTCAACTGACTGAGCCAGCCAGTCACCTCAGCCAAATACATTTCTGATGCAGATTTGATTCTGTTTATGTTATGGGGTTAAATAGTATCAGATGGTGATGACAGTAAAGTTGCAGTAATACACCATTGAAAGCAAAATAGCAACAACTAACGAATTGTGACCACTGATACCATTGTATGCATAATCCCGTGGCCTCCGGGAACACATTGGGAAGATAAATGAACAGTGGTTCCCATCTTAGAGTTTCTGAAATCTAAAAAGACTTCACTACTTATCTGGCCTTAATTTATTCTCAGATAAGTCAGCTCAGGGATTTAAGAGAAAAGGTCATGAGGGGCTTAATTTTGGATCATAGAGACATCAGCATATTGCTAACAAGGAACCATGACATCGTCCTGTTGCATCACCATGGTTTGACCTGGTAAGAGAAGACTCCCTCCGATACCCTAGTAGCCAGTGGATTAGGCAACGGTGGTAGGACCGCTGAAGCCTAGTAACTGTATAAAACCAGATGTGTTGAGAGGTTGAGTGTGCAGCAGAAACTCATGACTGTGGCTGGGTTTACAGGATGTACCGGGCAGGTGTCATCTGATCAACTCCCATCCATAGCCTCCCCTGTCTGTCTTTTGCCTTTTCTTTCAGGTTGTAGAACTCATGACAGGTGGAGCTCAAACCCCAGTCACCAATGCAAATAAAATCTTCTATTTAAACTTATTGGCCCAATATCGTCTGGCCAGTCAAGTGAAAGAGGAGGTGGAACACTTCCTAAAAGGTGAGAGCCCATCTACTCTTGGCCTTGAGATTAAAAACCCCTGTATCCATGGTGTGGGTATGGCTTTAACTTGGCCACTTTGTTTCAGGCCTGAATGAGTTGGTCCCTGAGAACCTTTTGGCTATTTTTGATGAAAACGAGCTTGAGGTAAGTGCTTACAATTACAGACCCCCCCCATTCTTGACCGGCTGAGTGTGCCCACGGGAACCAGCTCCTTACACCTTCTGTTGTGAGATGCAGTGGGAAAGTCCTTCATGCAGGAGTTGGTTTCACTTTTGTCACTCTTCCATGCATTGCCCTTTTCTCCAGCTTTCAAAACATTAGAATGTGAACATTAGAAACCAAATAACTAATTATTTTTCAAGACTAATAATTAATAGTCATTTATTCATCCAGTATTAGTGATACAGGGTGAAGAGTAAAGAACCTTGGTATTGTGTACAGTCCTTGTAAATCCTGTGACGCTTAAAGTTGATTTAAGGGAATAATAGAATTTATTTGTTCAGGAGACATGGACGTTTGAAGCACTGGAGAGCTAGCAGTGAATAGGACAGAGTCCCTGCCCTCATGGAGCTACATTCCAGGGAAGGAGACAAACCAAAAGATGTGACATATTTCAAAGTTTTGTGCTACAACACTATACAGTTAATATATTCTTATCACAGACTCTGTAACAACCAAAAATGGACCTAAGATGGTGAATACCATTCTATAATTATCAAAATAGAAGTTGTGGGCAAAAAATAAAATCAGGTGGTCATTGATCTGTTGCTCACAAATGATACGTACATGGCAAGTTATTGGTTCCAACTTGCCACAGCCTTTATGAGGAGTGTGTTTTTGCAAACTGTTTCCTGTAAGGAGATTCTTCTTCAGAAATGAGAAAACAAAAAATAGTTTCTGGTGGTCTTGTACAGTGTTTATTCTTATTAACTGAATTGGCCTTGAGAACAAGAATCAAAGTCGTGTGTGATTTTTGTCACATTTGTACCTTCAGACATGAAATTCAAACAAAATGAATGAATACTCCATCTCTCAGCCTTAAGTTTCCAATAGACCTGTCACCTAATGCTGTTATTTTTGGGGCTGAGGAACATCTACTGTATTTCCATTTATCATGAAGCATAACCTTTGTAACAATTTGTAAAAGTGAGGAGGAAGAAGGGACACAGTCTCTTAGAGTTGTTCCACACCCTACTCTTACTCATTAGCTTAGCAGGTTCTTTTTGAAGGAGCCAAAGCTCCTCAGGCTTAATTTGGGCTTTTCTTGTCTCTTGATGAGGACATATCATTCCTTAGAGCTATTGAATGAGTACTCGTAGTCTGCTAAGTCACCTGCTGGTTCCGGAACCAAATTAGGACATCAGCAAGAGGTTCAGGCTTCTGATAGCATTAATTTCTCATTTTTTAGTATACTTTTTAATTTATCTGATCAAGTAGAGGCAGGGCTGAAGAGAAGGTGGTAAAAGTTCAATCCACAGAAGAAGGATGGATCCTGGGAAACAGGAAAGGCCATTTGACAAATTCATAAATAGAGCTGGGGGTTTTCATCAAAGGGGAGGGGCCTGCCTTTTCTTCCTTGTATTTCTAGGGCATGTCCAGAACAGTCTCAGTCAATACTTGGTTCTCTGTTTGTCTTTTGTTTCAATTCCAAATAATCTGCAGCAGTAGTTCTTTGGGTTATTGTTTTTCTTTTTTTTTTTAATTTATTTATTTTAGAGAGAGAAAGAGCACGTGTGCGTGAGCGGAGGGAAAGAGAGAAAGGGAGAGAAGCAGACTTCCCACTGAGCACAGAGCCTGACACGGGGCTTGATCCCATGACCCCAGGGTCATGACCTGAGCTGGAATCAAGAGTCGGACGCTTAGCCGACTGAACCACCCAGGCGCCCCCGCACAGCAGTAGTTCTAAATTAGAGGTGCACATCGGTAACGGGAAACTTTTTCAAAATACACAAGTTCCTAACCCATTCCTGGAGATTTTGGTTCAGCAGGTCTAGGGTAAGGCCACGGGCATCTGTATATTTTTTTTAAAAGCTATGTGATTTTTTTTTTAACCACACTGGTTAAGAACCATTGGCCTGTTAAAATTGATTTTCCTAAAGCAGAGTTCTGGCATTATGTATGATCTCACCTTCTGGTCTTTTTCCTGGTTTCCTTTATTCCATGTTTTGCATGTTAACATAGGCACTTTGGACCTTTTTTGGGGTGTTTGTCCTCCGACTGTCCTAGTAACACCTGACTGTCTTCTCCAGCTGCTGATGTGTGGGACCGGGGACATCAATGTGTCTGACTTCAAAGCCCATGCAGTGGTTGTTGGCGGCTCATGGCATTTCAGAGAAAAGGTAAGTGGGCCAGACTTCTTTTCACTGGGTTTGTGCCATGTGGCAAGGAAAGACTTTAGAGTCAGAGAGGCAGACACTTCAACTGGGGGGAAGAAATGGTACACGAGGGAAAGACAGCTGGTTGTCCAAGCAGAAGGGAGCGCTGGTCCCTCGGGGTGGCTGTGCCATCTGCCGCAGGAGTGGTACGTTAGAAAGGCTGAGAAACAGAACCAGCCAGTCAGAGGCCGCCCGCTGCTGGTATGACAGGGTAAATGTCTGGCGTAGTTGTCGGTTCTCACCGTCACTACCCGTGTCCCCCACTTCCGGGTATCCTCTTCTTTCCCCAGGGTCCAGTGCCAGGCTGCACACTGAGTGTGACCCCCACCTTGTGCTCTCCCTGCCAGGTCATGAGGTGGTTCTGGACCGTGGTGTCCAGTCTGACCCAGGAGGAGTTGGCTCGGCTGCTACAGTTCACAACGGGCTCCTCTCAGCTACCACCCGGAGGTTTTGCTGCCCTCTGTCCCTCGTTCCAGATTATTGCCGCTCCGACCCATAGCACGCTCCCGACTGCGCACACGTGGTAGGTCGCACACCGCCCAGGGCACGCTCTGCTGGGGGAGGCTCTTCCAGCCCTGGCCAGGGTCTCTGGCGGTATGAGTTAATCACTTCTCCCCTTGCCCTTCAGTTTTAACCAGCTGTGCCTCCCCACGTATGACTCATACGAAGAGGTGCACAGGATGCTGCAGCTGGCCATCAGTGAGGGCTGCGAGGGCTTCGGCATGCTCTGACCACTCTCCTGCCACCCCCCGGGCCCCTGTGCTTCCTGGAGCCCCTGGGTGCGCCTAACGCCATGACAACCACCGACCCTAACACGTCTCCATCGGCCAGAAGCTGCTGCATGCTCCCCCATGTCTGGAGGACTGGCTTACCTACGAGCCAGGTTGCTCCCTCGCTGTCCCCCCCCCACCTCTCCCCCACCGGCCACTTCGGCACAGCGTGGAGTCTGAGCGGCTCACTCGTGAGAAGAGGACCACACTGCTGTCACTTCACTTGGTTCTCAGAAGATCTTGGGAGCTGAGGGAGATTACACAAATGGCTCGGCTTCCTTAGCAGGCTGGGGCCTGCCTTGCTCAGCCTCCTGTGCAGATGCCCCCAACAGGTCCCTCTGCGGCCCGCACTACTTGCCCTTCGGCGACGTGAGTCCTTCCTGGGCGCAGGGTGACGGCCCCTTCCCACCAGGAGCCGGGAGGAGTGCAGATAGCAAGTGGCCCACGTGAGCAGTCCTCATTTTCATCCCCCTGCACCAGGGCGGCCTCAGGTCCACCACTGGTCTACCTCGAAGGGGGACTGATGGCACAAAAGGAGCTTTTTTTGTGGGGTCAGACCTGGAAAAGGAGCTTTTTTTCCCTGAAGGCATTTCTGGAAATGATCATTAATCCATAAAGAACTCTCTAAGCCTTTTCTTGAGTGTGAGCCAGTGAGAAAAAAACAGATCCAAGAATGTGAAAGATAGCTGGGCCATAGCTTCCAGTGCTGAAAATGATTGTCCTTTAGGGCACGTCTAGGCCTCTGGCTGGCCTGGAAGACTACTGATGTTTGTCCCTGAGTTTGTCCTGTACACTGAGGTGTGGCTGGGCCTGGCCACTTACCTCCACCTTATGCAGTCTGCTAAGAGCTAGGGATTCTTTAGCTTTCTACGGAAGAAAATTTTGTAGCAAGGGTTTGGGGTAGTAAGAATAGCATGCTAAGACTCCCTGACTCTCTCCTTGCTTGGTATTCTCTGGCAGCACTGAGGCAAGGGAAAAGGGACCAGTGGCTGAAGTGCTTAATCACAGGTCTGCGGGGTCTGACAGCAAACACCCAGCGGCCCACTGACCTCCTTCCCTCTCTAAGCTGCCAGCAAGAGCCCCCGAGGAGGGAGGACGATCTAGTAGGTTCACTGTTACACGGTGACTGAAGAGAACCTGCCGCTGGCTCTTGGAAAGTCACACCATCCTTTTTCATGACAATTTGAATGCAGCCATTTTCAAGACTCAGTATCTCATCAACTTCCCAAATCTCTGTTTTTAAGAAGGCTTTGCTGCAAGCTACCATTCTCAACGGGACACTCAACCCTGATTACAAGCCATCTTTACTGCCAAAACCAGCAAGTCCACAGAGTCCAGGGATGAGGCGGGGCTTGTGGCTGTGCCTCGGCCTCCTGGAAGCCTGTCTGAGCCCTCCTGTTCCCAGGGACCACGAGGAACCAGCCCTCCTGAGCTGCTCCTGTTGCGGCCTGACCTCACTCCTTCGCGGTTGTCATTTGTCCTTCTTGGCGTGGGTGCTGACCTCACTCGTTCTTGGGTCCAGGATCCAGCATCAGGGCCTCGACACCCCCCAGCCAGGGTCCTCCATGCCCCACGGTCACTGCTGTCCTCAGGGACCAGGACAAGGTGCTGCTGCTTGCCCCAGCGTTTTCCCGTGGGACGAATACAGGCGAGTTTCATCATCACCCTGCAAACATGATGCTGTCCCTCGGGCCTAGAGAGGGGTCTCCAGCTTGGGGCTCGGGGGCTGGTTCTGCTGTCTTCGGCAGCTCTTCTCTTCGGGATTTTGCGTTCTCCCCTCCAGTGGCCCTCTGGAGACCAATGCTGGAGCTCGATTTGATTTTCTTGGCGAGATCTGTCATTTTCAGCTCTGGTCGTAGCACTTTTTGGCGCATCCTGGGTGCCACTGCAGCCCGGCTGTGACAGCTTGCAGCCCTGTGGTGGGCCTCAGCCCCAGGGTCTTGGTTGAACAAAAACCCTTTGGTACTGTGGTGGTTTTCTATTCTTCCAGTGTACTCTGTCTCCTAAGTCTGTTCCAAAGTATCTTTGCTCTGTTTGGCCTTTTCTTTTACCTTTTTTTCTAACTCTACTGTGGTACCAGCCAGTGTGGGGAAGCGGTACAACACGTCAGAGACGGGGAAGAATCCCTGTTACTTCTCGGGCCATTGTGAATTTCACGTTTCTTACTTTGGCCAGTTCCTTGATTTATGCTCCTGTGGCCCAGGTACTTGGGGGGCCATGTAAACGGCTGGCCTTGTAGTGTCTTGGAAGGAGACCAAGCAAGCACCGAGTGAACACCAAGGAGAGCATCAGCATGTTTTCTAGAGACCAAGCGCTGCTGCAAATCCGTCAGGCCAGGCCAAGGGGCCAGACCGCTGCAGCGACAGTGTAAATATTTTGTACAGTAAATAAATCAATATTGAAAAGGACTAAGGAGAAGTGACTTCTTTAAGTGGCGATTCAGGGCTCAGACTGGAGGCGGGGAAGGAAAAGAAAGATCTACAAATGTTTTTGCATATCCCCAAGTAAGTCCTTCAGAAGCCATGAGCTCAGGGTAGAGTGTACCTGCAGAGCCCTGGCCCGTCCCGGGCTTCTCGCTCTTTCACCCTTCCCTCATTGCTGTCCCTGATGCCAGGTGGGGCCACGGTGCAGGACACGGGCTTGTGCTCAGCTCCTGAAGGAGAAACCAGTTTGTCAAGAGCAGATGATGTCTGTTCTCATGAGTCTTTTAAATGTTCATTTGTTGTATGACATAAGAAACTCGGCATAGAAAATTTGGAAATGAAAAGAGCCCAAGAGAAATCATTCACCTGCCATCCAGAGGTAACCACTGTTCACTGACGTACATAGCCTTCTGGTTTGTGTACAGTCACCTTTATTTCCACACCTCCTTCTCCCAAGCGAGCTAGGCGTGGCAGACAAAATCACTGCTTCTCAAACGTTTGTGGGTGGCAGGCGGTACCAATTCTTTTGCAACCAAAGGTAAGCTTGGTAGAGAGAAAACCAAGGGGACCTAGAAGGAAAAGTAGCAGCAACCCTGGCTTTGTTGGGAAAGTAATCACGGTGTCATTAAACATTGGTTCCCAATCTGGAAAGTCAAAAAAAACCCTTTGGAATTGTTTTGAAAATGCTGATCTTTGCCCAATCTCCCAGACCTGGTGAATTGGAATCTTAGTTTGAACACCACTGTTTCAGAGTGCATTCACTCTACTCCCACCTTCTCAAGCTCCTCGGTGATATGAGATGTCCTTAGAAAACCAAAATTCTGTCCCTCTAACTTCATATTTTTAGGTTAACAGTCCTACATCTTTTCCACTTGCTGCTGTTGTGGCTTTGAGTGGCCGTGAACATTCATCATTGATTCATTTCAGCCTATCAAAAGTTACTCCTTTTTTTTTTTTTTTTTAAAGATATTTATTTGAGAGAGAGAGCAGGGGGAGGAGCAGGGGGAGAGGGACAGGCAGACTCCACGCTGAGCAGGGAACCCGATGCGGGATCAGTCCCAGGACCCTGAAATCATGACCTGAGCCAGAACCAAGAATTGAACACTTTAACCGACTGAGCCATCCAGGCGCTCCCCTATCATAAAGTTATTCTTAAGACTCAAGATGGCAGTAGGATTGTTCTTGAATTAACACTGAAAACTAGCGTCAGCCTCTCATGAGCTGTTACCTCTGACCCACTGCAGATAGAGCCGTCAGACCTCTGCCCAGCCACACTTCTCTCTCGTAGGAGCACAATACAGATTCTCTAGCAGGTGGCTTGAAGCAGGGGCTCTGCTTGTGCTTCACATAGACCCTCAAGCATAATAGAACAGCTCTAGGTGTTCTATGATACTTTTACTTAAAAATGAATTTACTTTTTTCTTTTATTTTGGGATGTAACATAGATCAAAAAAAAAAAGGTCCACAAGCATGTACAATTTAGTAAATAATTATGAAGGAAACACACATGTAACCACCATCCAAGTCAAGAAATAAAACGTTACAGCACTGCAGAACAAGTCTCATCCCACCCCTCCAGAGGTAACTATTATCTTGATTTTTATGGTCATTGTTGCGCCGATTCCCTTTTTAAATAGTCTGTCCTAAAAGTCACAGTGGGGAGGGGAAAAATAAGAGGCCCCGTGATCTCTTGATAAGATACTAACCAAGGTCAATTTCTCTATAGTAATTAACTACACATCACAATTAGTTTAAAGAGAAGTTTGAGATCATTGTGCCATAAGGATCTAGTTTAGATTCTTGATGCTGAATCTGATGAATCATATTCAAAGACAATAAGGTCTCTCTGCAAAGACTTTCCCACAGGTATTCTAAATTGAATACTGCTTTGCTTTTATACCCTGAACACGTTTAGGGGGCTGGTCTAACATGATCGTGATTCTCTTTGGTGCTCAGAGGCAGGTTCTCAGGTATCGTGTAAGTGTGGTATTGAAAATGAGTCCATGCTAAATTGTCTCAAAAGTTGTGAAACGGGCTAATATTTCTGGGTTAGAGGACTGAGTCTGTGCAGAATCTAACAGAATGCCATTCCAAAGTTACCCGAGAGCTTTGTTGTTTTGGGTTGGCGTGCACAGGGGGTGGGTTTAGAAATCCACAGGGGGTACTGTGATGATGTGGGTTTGTGTGCGATAGAAAGGTGCCGCCTAGAGTGAGCTGTGCCTTGCTGTGAATACTTCTCCGACCCCTACCCCAAGTTCAGTTCACTTGAATTCTGCTCTTATAAGAACACATGGTGGTAGCCGAAGCAGGGACCTGGAAGCCATGAGCTCAGGGTAGAGTGTACCTGCAGAGCCCTGGCCCGTCCCGGGCTTCTCGCTCTTTCACCCTTCCCTCATTGCTGTCCCTGATGCCAGGTGGGGCCACGGTGCAGGACACGGGCTTGTGCTCAGCTCCTGAAGGAGAAACCAGTTTGTCAAGAGCAGATGATGTCTGTTCTCATGAGTCTTTTAAATGTTCATTTGTTGTATGACATAAGAAACTCGGCATAGAAAATTTGGAAATGAAAAGAGCCCAAGAGAAATCATTCACCTGCCATCCAGAGGTAACCACTGTTCACTGACGTACATAGCCTTCTGGTTTGTGTACAGTCACCTTTATTTCCACACCTCCTTCTCCCAAGCGAGCTAGGCGTGGCAGACAAAATCACTGCTTCTCAAACGTTTGTGGGTGGCAGGCGGTACCAATTCTTTTGCAACCAAAGGTAAGCTTGGTAGAGAGAAAACCAAGGGGACCTAGAAGGAAAAGTAGCAGCAACCCTGGCTTTGTTG